TTATCTAATTATTTTCTTTTAATTATCTATTAACATTTTTTATTTGATTTGATTTTCTTTTTCTTTTTATTCGGCTGAGATTGGGATGGAATTTGAGAATTCTATTGTGGATTTGGGATTCAATCAGAGTCCATATTGGATTCAAGGATTGAATCCTAATCCAAGGAGGAGTTGGGATTGATCAGAAACTCTTCTAATCAATCCCTATAAATAGATCCACGAATCAAAGGACCAGAACATAGAAACGTAGACACTAATTGAGAAAGAGTGAAAAGAGAAAGAAAAAGGCGTCCAGAAGGGTCAGAGGCAATTTCAGGATTTTTTAGAAATTTTGGTGAATTTGTTTTTGGAAATTTCTGAAAATTTTTCAGATTTCGGTTGAATTTTCTGGCGAAGTTTGAATTTTTCGATGACTTTTTCAGCAAAGTTTGAATTTTTCGGCCAGCTACCCAGTTTTCGACCACTATTTCCAAAAACCGATCAGCTTTTTGGTGAACTTCCGACAAAAAAACTCAGATTCTGATGAAAATTTCTAAAATTCAACGAGATTCAACCGGAGTTCTTTGTTTGTTTAGAGAGAGGGGAGAGGAAAAGAAGGGAAGAGAGAGAAGAAGATAAGGAAATTCTGAAAAAAAACCTACCTTTAGCCTTATATAACCGACCTTCAGCCTTATATACCCTCCCAAAAACGATATCGTTTTTGCATTAGTAAACCTATAGGATCCGCGCGTTTTGCCAAGATCCGACCTAAGCGCCAACCCGCGTGCAACCCGCGTGTGACCCCAGTGCAAAGCCAAGCCGAGTCGAGCCGTTCCTAGGTTTTTTTTTTCATTTTTTTATTATTTATTTATTTATTATTATTATTATTATTTATTTATTAGATTAGAATTGTTTAATACTTTTTATTTTTATTTTATTTTTCTTTATTTTTATTTTTAATTTTTTTTAATTTTATTAATTTTATTTTCTTTAAATAAAATTAAAAAAATATATATTTTTGAGGAAAAATTGAAAGTATCAATTTTCCTTGAAAATAAGTTTTTCAAAAAAAATATTTTTGAGAAAAAGTTGAAAGTATCAATTTTCCTTAAAAATAAGTTTCAAAAAAATATTTGGGGAAAAGTTGAAAGTATCAATTTTCCTTAAAAATAAGTTTCTAAAAAATATTTTGGGGAAAAGTTGAAAGTATCAATTTTCCTTGTAACAAAAGCAATGAATTTTTTAAGAGGAAAGGATTTATATTTAAAGCAATCATTTTTTTTCCTTTTTATTTTCTTGGATTTTCTTTAATGTTAAATAATCCGACGATGGAGCCTCTGCAAGTGAAACAGTAGTTTTCTTGCATTCTCTTGAGGTGAGGGAATTTTCTCAATTTTCTGCTAAAAGTATTAGAGTCAATTGAGAATAATTTCCAATAATTAATTACTTGGTAAATTTTTAAGGCTTATTGGATAACAAAAAATTAAGTTGGTACCATCTTTCGATGGGCGTTGTGAGGGTGTTATAACCTTCCTCACACGTAACCGAACTCCCGAACCCTGTTCTGATTAGTAGACCTGAACCTATTCTTTTAGGGACCTTTAAGCTTAAGTGTTCTTTAAAAGGATAAATTCCTTAGGTGGCCAATCGCACCTAGATAAAAAGATTGGTGGCAACTCCTTAAAGTCAATGTCTAGCGATAGATCCCTGGATCTAGACGTTATGAAATTGGTTGGTTTAAACTAGTATGCATTTGTAGTTTAAAAGATATGATTTTCAATTGGATTTTGTTTGACCGGCTTGTATTGAATAAGATGACAGAAATGTTTTGACTGTTCTTGAAGGAAATGCTACAGTTTTCCTATGGTACTATCTGTTTATTATTGCTTTATTTTGATTCTGGGTTTGCTGCTATGCATTGCTGATCATGTGAAATGGGCATTGTATGGTTCTATTTCATTACAATCTGGTAAATTTTCAAAAGTTAAAAACTAATCTTTTTCAATCTTTTATGTTTGGATTGTTGAAATTTGGCTTTAACATACTTGATATTGGGATAGGACTAAATCAATTTTTGAGTTCTTCAAGATTAATATACTGTTTCCGTTTTACTCTAAGGACATTCGTTTCATTGCAAATTACCTTTTTTCTTTTTCTTTTTTTTTTTACATTTCCATGTTAATTGCAGTTGCAGAATATTTCTCAAGGTGCAGTTGCCATGGAATGTCATAATTCTTGCTGACAGCTTGGATGCCAAAGGTTTGATGCTCCAAAAGGCTATAGTGGTCCGCCATTTGGATGAATTTGCTCGGAAGAAGGCCACCAAGGATCTTGGATATGTCATGGCTGTAACAACTCTGGAGAGCATTGGAGAGGGCAGAGTTAGACAGAACACTGGGGATGTGCTTTTCCCTGTTGTCTTCAGTGGAATCACCTTCAAGATGTTCAGAGGATAGATTTTGGAAGGAGCTGTACACAAGGTACTAAAACATGGAGTATTCTTTAAGTGTGGACCAATCCAAAACATCTATCTGTCTCACGTAAAAATGCCCGACTACAATTATGTGCCTGGAAAGAACGCTATCTTCATGAATGACAAGCACTCAAAGATTGAGAAGGATGTTGTCATCTGATTTATTGGAACAAAGTGGAAGGAAGCAGAGAGGGAATTTCAGGCATTGGTAAGTTTGGAAGGTGACTACTTAGGACCAGTTTCCTGAATATAACTTTTGTTTCATCTTTGTATGATTCGGATGTACTTGTTACTGCTTTCTTAGGAAGTAGTGGACAGTAAGAGTGTTGGATGTTGAACTATTCTAGTTGTTGTAAATTCGATTGGACAAAGATGTTGAATTCTAGAGCTTACTTATGATGTTAGCTTTGTATAACTTGGTTCGGTTAAATTGGTTTCTGGATTTTGAAGTTTTTTAAAACTGATTTGAATCGACAACTGAACAATTGCTCACCCCTAGGCAAGTCTAGCTTTCCATTTCGAAGGGTTTTTGTTTCAATGGATGGAGCAGTAGCTAAAGAAGTAATTTGAAAGGATACCAAAGGCAAAGACTAGTGTAGATTGAAGCAATGCAAGGATGAGAAAGAAGAAAAGTTGGGACATAGAAGAGATGATACCATTATTAGATTGATCGAAAAGGCTTTGTTGCACACACAGCTATAGATGTAAGCTGTGAATATAAAGTAGTGAAGGTAACTATATTTATTTATTTAGAATCAAAATCAAATTGGTTTCACATTTCTACATTTGTTAAAGAGAAGAATTAATGGAAGTAATTGCTATGATTTAGTTAATTGTTTGTAGAATCCATTTTATTTCTCACGTTTTAGTACTTCTGCTTCTAAGATCATTCTTTGTTTCTCAATCAAACTTCTTTCTATATTTAGTTAATTCAATTTGGATAGCAATCAATAAATAAAATTTTAATAATTTTTCAAAATAAAATTAATATTTTTATTTTACAATAATAATTATAATAATATATAACATTAAATCTGTCTAGATATGGACTTAATTCTATGTAATTTGGTTAAAAAAAAATTAACAATTTAAATTTGTTCAACTCAAACTCAAAATTATTTAAACTTGAATTAATATGACTTTGAAATGATTCGAACTCAAATAATTCGAAAATTGATTTGAAATTATTATTTAAAATAAATTGATTTGATTTTAAAATATAATAATTTAAACTCAAAATAATACAAATCCAATAATCTTAATTTCAAATAATATGAGTATCATCCGAATGATCTGTACCCACAATCATCCAAAAATTTTTTACTCTAATACTTCAATATGAAGTAAAATAACACATAAAATTGCCACCACCATATCTATAAATCTTTTCCAAAAATTATTTATACAAATAAATTCAATATTTCAAAAAATGTCAATTCTGATGTGTGACTAATTAACGTAGAGATAACTGGCAACATTCCAAGAAATTTGGGTAAAATGTATTCATCCATCGATTGCCATGGATTTTATGCAATTATATCAAAGCAAGATTGTTTATTGTATTATCTCCTCATTTTAAACACTATAAAGAAGTTTGCAAAATTTTTGAAAATTCCCCCTAACAATGCAATCATTATGGAAAACATGCCTACAAGGCATCAAAGGCAACTTTGTCTCCAACCAAGAACTCCTCCAAACAAATGGTACATTGTTTCTTGGAACTCAAATCCTCAAGTCTTCTCCTTTTCTTCATGAGTAAAAGACTATCTTATCGTATCACCAAATTTTATTTTTTTCAAAATCTGAATAGAAGACTAACTAGCAGGCTTGAAATTCAATGTCATCAATGACTCGTCAATCACATGAATTTTTCATATAAGCCTCCATCCTTCTATTATATCTAATTAAGTCTTTAAAAAAATTATATTTGTCTAATTCAATTTGAGTATAATTTGGTTTCATTAAGCTCTTTGTCTAGGATGAAAATTGAAAAAAATAATATTATTTCTAGCTAAATCAACATATATGCCATATTTCTTTTTATGATGCCAACATCTACATAACATATATTAAAAATAAAAAAACTCTTTAGATGCTAACGTGGCCTATTACATAAGCCATTCATTATATATTATGTAAATGACAGTTCAACTTAAATTTTTATGTTTTGAAATGCATAAATTGATGTAACAAAGATAATTATTGCCATTGATATGGTAAAAATAATAAATTTTAGTGATTTTCATGTAAAATAAGACTTAATTAAATAAAAATAATGTTTTATGCTTTCAATTGGATAAAAAATAGATAAAAGTTTATTTGAGAAAGAAAAGTACAACATTTTTAGCATTTTAGTAAAAATAGTACAAGTTAAAAGTATATTCTTCAAAATCGTCACTCAAATCCATTTCAAGTGTACTCAATATAATTACAATTAAATTTTGAATGATTTCAAAGGTAGTGAATGATTAAAGGTTAAAAAGATGAAATTGTGAGAAATAATGTGTATGAGTATGTATAAGAATAAATGGTGAATAAATAATAAAATCAAAAGATTATTGTGTGAAGTTGTGTTTATTGTAATTTGGTATGCTCATCAATTGTATTCTTTGTTTGTTCAAACAAATAAAAAAGTCATATTAGAATTGCAATAGTATTCCAAAATGAAAGTACTGTAGCAAATCGGTACTACAGTAGAATATTACAACTGATATTGCAAGTCGAAATTCTAAGTCTGGCCATTAGTTACATTTCAAAAATAAGAAATTTTGAACATACAAATTGAGTGCTTAAACACAACTATTCTATGTCATAGCTGATTCACTACAAAAGCTTTATTATAAAGTGCTTAAACATTTCAATACAAATAAGAGAAAAAGAAATAGATGGAAAGCAAATACACATGCTTAGAATTATTATTCAAATTGTTAGCACCTTAATATTAGTCACTGCAAACTTCATGATCCCACAATTCTCCCAATTTTATGATTGAGAAAGGATTGGGCAATGGAAGCGATTGATGGGTAAGGGCTTGAGCAACTTGTCTCATGGTTGGCCGAAGTTGAGGACTGCCATTCAAGCATGCAAATGCTAGCTTTGTAGTAGAGACAACATCCTTTGCAACTTGCCTTACCGGTGGTGAGAGGCGTTGGTCTATCACATCTTTAAGTAAAATCAGTTGGTTGTCATTTGGTATTGATGTCGATGTTGATGCCAATGTCGATGACGATGATGGTAAACATGAAATCAAATCACCAGGATGCCTCCCCATAAATATTTCCATTATTAGCACCCCAAAACTATAAACATCACATCTCTCGTCTACTTTCAATGTATAAGCCAACTCTGTATAGAAAAATATATCTAATCAATATGCTCTATTAAGCAAGAAATATATCTTATCAATAATACACTATTATGTAAGAATAAAGAATATTGAGAAGATTATTAAATAATGTTGAAAAACAATTGTAAATGTTTAGAAGATTACTTTAAAATTGACATTCATAGGTTCTAACAAAATTTTACATTTGGTTCATCAGTTTTGATATATTAAATATTAAAAAATTAAGTGTTAAACTTCAAAGATTAATTATACATTTGATACTTGAATTGTAGTAAAATTCTTAATTTGATACTTAAAATTTGAAAAATTACAATCATATATAATACTACTTGAACTTTGTTTTAACACATCAATTTACACACAAAACTAATACTTTTAATTGAACGATGACATGTTTAAAGTATCTTTAAAAAAAAAAAAGATATCAATAAATACCTGGAGCTATGTACCCGAAAATGCCAGCAAGTGAGGTCCAATTAGAAGAGTCAGGTTTTAAAAGCCTGGCTGTGCCGAAATCTGAGACATGAGCCTCATAGTCCAAATCCAGAAGAACATTGTTGCTGGAAATGTCTCGATGAATTATCGGTGGTGAATGGTCATGATGCATATAAGACAAGGCATTGGCCACTCCTTTTACAGTATTTAGCCTCTTCTCCCAATCCAACTCCATTGCCTCGTCCTTGTTGCTTAACACCATTCTCAAACTTCCCCTTTCTACAAACTCATAAACCAAAAATGAGTTCTTTGGATGTGAACAAAAGCCATACAGCTTCACAATGTTACGATGCCTTATTTCTGATAGAGCATAAATCTCGCTTTCAAAGGCTTTCAAGTTGTTGGAAATCATGCTATCTTCAGATTGGTGAAGTTTCTTCACCGCAACCACCTCACCAATGGGTAGCGCAGCTTTATAAACAGCTCCATAGCCTCCTGAACCAATGCAATTGTTGGAGCTGAAATCTTCAGTGGCTTCAATAATGTTCTCATAGAGTATTCTTCCATTATATCCCCACAATGTGAAAAAATCTCCAAGTTTTGCCTCGATTGACTCGGATTTTCTGGTTTGGTTCTTTCGGCGAAGAATAAGGAAACTTCCAGCTATGATAAAGAGCAAAAGAAGAAGACCAAAGAGTGGAAGCACAATGAAAATGATGACTTTGGTGCTTTTTCTAGCAGCGACAGCACAAGGCATTAGTCCAGTGGCATTACCACATAGTCCCTTATTGTTTCTGAAGGCATCAAATGAAGCCTCATGAAATGCCTTAATGTTAGGAATAGGGCCTTCTAATTGATTGTAAGATATATTCACAACAGTCAGACTTTGCAAATTATTAAAAGAATTTGGGATGGAACCATTGAGCATATTGTGAGAAAGGTCCAATGTTTCCAAGGAATGTAATTTTGCAAGCTGTTGTGGTATCTCCCCAATAAGTAAATTCTGACTTAAATCTAGATTTTGAAGGCCATTTATGTAGCTTACTGAAAGTGGAATGCTTTCTCCAAGTTTATTCTTGCTCAAATTCAAGTTCAATAACTTTGAGCACTCTCCAAGTTGATTAGGAATCGGTCCACTCAAATTGTTTGATGCCAAGTTAAGATGTTCTAGATTTGGAAGAACTCCAATCTCTGGTGGAATTTTGCCTGAAAGTTGGTTACCACTTAGCAAAAGTTTGTACATCAATGTCAATGCTCCCAATTCCTTGGGAATCTCACCAATGAGATGATTTGAAGAGACATCGAGTTCGCGTAATTGAGTTGCATGTTGCAACTCTAGTGGGATCTTTCCAGAAATGTTGTTGTCGGAGATTTGTAGGCTTGTTAGATTATGACATTGTCCCCAATTTGGAGAAAGTTCACCATAAAATCTGTTGTTGCTTAATGAAATATAATTCAAATTCGGATACACAGCAAAAGCTTCTGATATATTTCCTGTAAAGTTGTTTCCTTCAAGCCTAACTCTATATAAACTTTTGCAAGTTTTCAAAGTTGGTGGGATATGACCCGTTAAATTGTTGTTGAATACCGTAAGCCTTGTGAGTTGTCCACCGAGGCATACATTCTCAGGTAATGGACCACTAAGATGGTTGTCAAATAATTGTAATGATTCCAAATGAGTAACATTGCCAAGTGTTGGAGGAAGGAAACCAGACAAACTGTTATCAAATAAATGAAGTTTGGTAAGAGATACAAGCATCCCTACCTCTTGAGGTATTGACCCGGAAAGCTTATTCTCAAAAAGGTAAAGACTAGACAATTTGGTTAAGTTTCCTATGGAATTAGGGATGACACCAGTGAGATTATTATTTAACAGTTGCATTGTGGTAAGAGATCCAAGTTGTCCTATTTCATTGGGAATAGAACCAGAGAGGTTATTAGCATACAGATAAAGCCATACCAAGTTACTTAGGTTTCCCAGAGATGCAGGGATAGGACCAGTTAGGTAGTTCACTGAAAGATCAAGCAGAACAAGTGACCTCATCATTCCAACTTCTTTAGGTATAGAACCACTGAGCCTATTGTCAAAGAGGACAAGTCGGGACAAATTGTGCAAGCTTCCAATAGAAATAGGTATTGGACCAGTGAGATCGTTTTCATGGAGATAGAGAATAGAAAGTGAACTTAACAACCTTCCTATGTTAGATGGAATATTTCCGGAGAAACCATTCATGGACAAGTCAAGCTCGGTGAGCTTGGAAAGGTTTCCAATGTGTGAGGGAATGGGCCCATACAGTGAGTTGTTAGGAAGGTGAAGACCCATGAGGTTGGGGAAGGACAAGAAGTTCAGACTATGAAGTGTACCTTTGAACCCATAATCTGGAAGGCTTAGATTGGTGATGCTTCCAGCCTTGTTGCAAGTGATTCCGACCCAATTGCAATGCTTGTCTCCAATCCACAAAGAAGAGAGCAAAGTTTGGGTGTTGTTGGCAAGGCTAGCTTTCCATTTTAGAAGAGTTTCTGTTTCATTTGCAGCAAAGGAGGATGAAGAAGCAAGAACAGAGAGAGACCAATGCAGGACGACTATAAGGAAGAACAGGGCTTTGAATGGTATTATGAAAGATGCCATAATTTGGATGGTTCAAAAAGGATTGTTTGTTAGTTGTTGTAAATTACATTGGCATGGTCAGGTATTTATGCAAAAAACTAGAGTATTTCAGTCACTATGAAACATCCACATCATGTGGAAACATGCAACTTCAAGACCGGAACTTTTACGTTTATATTATTATCCCTGGAAACGAATTTATTTTTTGACTTTTGAAAAGCTTGCTTGAAATACATAACACCCTTCAAGTACTTCATCCAACCATAGCCTAGAAGAAGAAATTTAGTAAGGGCTTGATCCCAGTTTCAGAAAGAAACAGAGGCTTATATCGCTTTCCCAAAATCATGCTGAGAAATATTAGTGTTTTCACATTTTAGGTTCTTTTAATTTTTTAGCCATAACTTTATGCTTAACATTCATTGGTTCAATAATAAAAAAGTAGCCAACATTTCAAAAAGAAAGAAAAAGCAGACAAAATGACGCAGATCTTTCTACTTTTTCAAAAGAAAAGAAAAGGTGCTAAAAAACGAATCAATTGCTTTAAGAAATGCAAACTTTCCAACTTTGAGTAAATTTGCATCATAATCATATTTTTTATAAAGGCGTTTGATTGGAAAGAAAGAAAATTATTAATAGTATTTTTATTTTTGATTATTTGGTTATTACATTTGATTATTTGATTAAAGAAAGAAGATTATTATCTCATATTATAGAATATAAGACTTAATATGTTGTTATTTTTATTATTACATTTAGTTATACAATATTTTTGAATAGTGAAAATGTAAGATAATCAGTAATACCAAAATAGAGCTTCAATATCAAACAAATTACATGCTAAATCGACGCCAAAAAATATTCAAATCATTGAATCTCTTTTAACACCTAATTACGCTTATAGTTAAATTTCTTTGTTTTTCTTTTTTAAAAAAAATAAATTCAGATTTTATTTCAGAAAAGGAATAATGCATCAATCAACTTAATAAAATATTTCGACAATTTTTATTTTTCTTACTTTGCATGCCCTTTTAAATGCACTTTATAACCAAATATGCAGTATGCATGAATCCGAATAAATTTGTTTTGCCAAAATACATGACCACCGCTAATTTACCTTCCATAAAGAAAGAAAAATAAAATTTTAACGAGGATTAGTGCTTGAAACTGAAATAAACTCACTGTCATGCATAACGGATCCAGGAATTATAATTGGTGAGGCAAATTAATATATATATATATATATATGTATAATATTATGCATAAAAAAAGATGTAAAGAATTAAAAATTAATTCAAGTGTAATAAAAATGGACATCTAGTTACACTTATGGTAATTTATTTTACTTAAGTTTTTATTTCTACTGAGTATATGTTTTTACTTCACTTGAATTTTTTAATAAAATATAATAATTAATGATAACATATTTATATATTTATAAAATTTTTTAATTATTTAAAATTAAAATATATTAGAAAAGAATGAAAAGAAAAGAAAAAAAGATTAGAAACATCTCAATTGGAGGAACCCTTCATCTGTCTTTCACGTTATTCATGATTTACGTGGTCTTACAATCACTTTGGATCTATTTGGTTGGCCGTTAAAATTAGTGATAAAAATAAAACAAATTATTATAATAAAAAATTAAAATTAGTGGTAGAATGTATTTGAATACAAAATCAATGATGATAATGAAAAAAAAAATCATTAAAGACATCGGATTAAAGCTATATGTAATAAAAAATTTAAATTATTTAATATTTATAAAATTATAAAATTATTATAAAATTATTTTATGTCAAATAATGATTTCATTAATAAATAATTAAAAGTTATTTATTAATTTATTGTATAATAAATTTTTATATTAAATTTACAAAATTATTTTCTAATTTTAAGTAAAGAAAAAAAAAGAAATAAAAAAAAAAGTGATTAACTTGAAAGAGAAAACAAAAAAAATATAAAATAAAGGGACAATTGAGGACTAGAACTCAAAACTCCATTGAACGGTGGAAACCACGTCACACTAAAAAATTATTTGGATTGCAAAGTTACGGGTGACAATTTTTAATGGCAACTGCATCTCTATTAGCAAGTATATGACAACTGCATCAATTATGGAGGTTTGAATGGAGTTTATGTATCTTTATTAAGGATACCTACATGTTCAAAGTTCATTTACTTTCTTGGGCAAATAAATTCGATGACATATACTAGTTAATACAAGATTATATATTTTAAGTTTTCTCATTTATCAAAATAATAAAAGTGAAATATGTTTTTATTTTTATTTTTCATTGACCAATTGTTTATTTAAATTATTTATTGAAGAATTAAGTCCTAATAAATTGCATTTAATTTTTAAATATTGTTATATAAATGCCATAAAAATTATAATTAATTTATTCATCTTGTGCATAGCACTGATTTAAAATTAGAATAAGAGCAAAATATGTACCACTCAGACCCTACCTGCCCACCTAGTTAACTGCCTTTCTCCTTTTCCCACCCTAATAAAGGAAAAAAAAAAAAGAAAAAGCGAAAGGAAGGAAAAGAGAAGAAAAAGTAGAAACATCTAAAATCGACGCCAACGTCAATTGGAGGAAGACTTGGGAAGTCTTTCAAGGAGTGTTTTACGTCATTCATGACGTGCATTTGCAATGATTTGATCACACCCTAATATGTTCTTAATCTATGCCGACATGTTTTCACCACATTCATAACTTGCGATCTCGAGTTGACTCGTTCGTGTAACACATTTACTAATTTATTATTGCCATGAACAAGTTAGTTTACGAGTCTTTAACTGGAGAGGGGCTGAATAAATATCTAACCATCCATGCTAGCCAATGTAATTTATACCTAATAATCAACAAAATATTCCAAACCATGGCTTCTTTCTGCATATAATTCCAAGGTCCTTTTATTTCTCATGCTTGTGTCGGTTCAGTTATCTTATGTTTATCCAAATGGTATCATAAAATATTATTTTTAATTAAACCTTATTTTACATGAAAACTTAATAAAATTTCAACTGTAATAACAATATTTTGTGCGAAAACTCGATTGTTAAATTTGATAAAAATTTATAACGTGATTATCAATTTTTTTAATTAGATATGATTGATTAATTAAAATATCATTTTTTTAATTAAAAAAATCTTAAAGTTAATTAAGATTTATTAAATTAGATTTTAGTTTGTGAAATTAGGATTGAGCCTCAAAGTACTATTACGAGTGAGGAATATATTAATACCCTCACATCATCCATTTAAAGAATGGTATCAATTAAATACGTATTATCTTTTAATTTTGGTACTGCAGTTTTTTTAATATTTAAAGTTAATTCCTTAAAAATTATTTATGAAAAGCAGTTTTTATTATCATTTTGTGAAAAATTATTATTTTTGTCTTCTATAAATTTTCCAACACTTTGATGGATTCTATAAAAAATATTTTTATTTATTAAATTTTTGAAAAAATTAACCATTTACAAAATTCATAAATTTTCATCATAAGATATATATATATATATTTCATTTTTAAAATTAATTTCAAAATTATCTTAACTATTTGGAAAATTTCAAAAAATTATTTTTCTTAGAAAAATTTTAAAAAATAAGACTCTTTCAATTTTTTTAAAAATTCTTACTTAAAAGATTTAACCGAATTAAATGCATAATTAATATTTTTTGTTTTTTTATTATTTCTATTTTATCATTATTTTTATTTTTTTTATTATTTAAATTAACCTTTATTTAGTAAAAACAAGTTTTTAGATTATCTCCTCTCTTTGGTGAAATCTAAAAATGCTTTTACTTACAATAATTAAGAAAAACTAAACTCTTTCAATTTTTTTTAAAATTACATCTTAATAGATTTATTCAAATAATCAATTATTTATTTTATTTATTATTTGTAGCATTTTTATTTTTTATGAAAAAATAAATTCGTGAATTATCTCAATACTTTAGCAAAATTTAGGAAATAATTTTGCTTGTAAATTAAGTAAAAATAGAATTTTTTTATTTTCCTTAATAATTATTTTTTGGGAATTTAATCTTTTTTTTATTTTTTTATTTTAGATAAAAATTACCATTTGGTTTGATTTTATATTTTATTAAAATTATTACTTATTTCTTTAGAAAGGAAAAAAATAATCATTTATTTTTTCTATAATTTAAAAAATAATAATTAAATAAAAATAAAAAATAGATAAAATCAAAAAAATCAAAATTAAAAAAAAAAAACTTAAATAAAGGTCGGGCCATACATGAGTCGACACACGGGTCTGCGTACGGGTGCGTTGTTTTGAATGACCCATAAAATGATCAATTTTATTTTTTATTTTTTTTCTCTCTTTTCCAGACCCTCTGTATCTAAAATGTTCATCAATTTTCCACCTTAATAAAGAAAAAAAAAACATAAAAAAAAAAGACAAAGAAGAAAAAGTAGAAACATATAAAATTAACACCAATGTCAATTGGAGGAAGACTTGAGAAGTCTTTCAGGGTGTGTTTCACGTCATTCATGATTTGATCACACTCAATCAATGCCGGTATGTTTTCATCACATTCCTGACTTGCGGTCTTGAGTTGACTCGTGGATGTACCACATTGACTCATTTACTACTCTTCATGGAAATTAACTGGAAAGGGGTGAAAAAATGCATGATCATCCATGCTGGCCAATGTAATTTATACTTAAATAATTAACAAAATATGTATTCCATTTAAACTATCCAAATCATGGCTTCTTTCTTAATATCATTCCAAGTCCTGTTGTTTTTCATGCTTGTGTAGGTTCAGTCATCTTATGTTTATCCAAATGAAATCATAAAAATATTATTTTTTATTCAATAAATAATTGCAAGAAAACAAAACTTTTGAACATAAACATTTAGTTAATAATAAGTGCATCTATTTTTCTGTCAAAAAGTAACATTAAAATCACTGACCTACCTCCAATTCAAAAAAACAAAAACAAAAATAAAAAATGTTTGATACAAATGGAAAAGAAGCTTTCAACCAAAAGTTTCTAAACAACGATGTTACTATCCAATAATACTGAGAAACTAAAACTCAAAAAAAATTCCCTAATCTCTCTTTCTTTTTATGTTAGTTTCTCATTAAATTCTCCATCTACTATATATAAGTGATTCGTTATTATTAACCTATCAATGTTGCATATATATAAAAATAATTTATTTTTAACGATGTAAATAATTTTAATTTTATTTATTAACAAAGTGTCATTATTAGTGAATCAAATATATATATATATATATGTATATATTAGAGTGCTTAAACATTTGATTACAAAGGAGAGAAAG